TTGTTTGGTATGCCACGAGTCTTCCTGTTTGTGCCTTCTTAACTTAACTGCATCTAGGTAAAGGTGTGTTCAATTGCCCTTAACGATTAGCTATTTCATGTGTCCATCGATTGTTCGGGTTTGCAGCCAGGAAGCGCAGCTTGCAAATCTGCCTAATGCTATGAGGAAATCCCTCAACAATGAAAATTCTCCCACCCCCGTTCCATCCACAAGCTGCAAGCGATCAGACCGAAGATTTGACCAGTGAATTTCTGGTACTTCTTGTACCGTGCCCAATGTTGTTTTGATGTACAATACAATTTGTGTACATTAGTCGTTGACAGTAAATGTCCATTATTTGTTACTATTTACAGGCTAAACAGCTTAAGCGAATCTATCATGCTGCCAAAATTAAACGTTGCATGTCCATACTAGAGTGAAATAAATTAAAATTAAAATTAAGTTTAATTTATTATTTCTTTTGTATCATGGTTCTTAGATGTCGCGTAATATTTTCCTTAAACATGTCGACAACATCGACACCACTGCGGTGTGAAGATCACCTGGAAGTTAAATATGAACGCAACATGAAAACAACGCTGTTTTACAAACCTGGCATCTCCGTCAAGAAATCTGTGGCAACGAGGCACATAGACAAAATATAAACTCGAAGTTCTGGGGTAGCTGCCACATTTCAGCCTTTCAATTTCAACCACATTCAAATATTCACGCCTGCATGACAGCACCTCTGACTTGGGCAAAACAAAGCTTTGTTCAAGTACCGATCAAATGTGCCGCCACCCGTCGGCAAATAGGCAGGCAAATCATATGCTGGATGATTCGGATAGCTATAACCGAGTATCTTTCCAAGGGACAAATATACGCCGGATGCGTTGACATCCGGATAAACAGTTATTAGGCAGATGGACCGGAAAGGAAGAAGGAAAATCAACCGAAAGCGGTTCGTTCATCTTGGATCTGTTGACGACAAGATATACTGGAAGAGCTCGACAAACAAAGCGACAAAATGCAAAAAAACAAAATACGTTGCATGAGGACAATAACAGATTATGTGCTCATAAAGAAAGAAGATTATTACACCGAAACGTTGACACATAACATGTGACCGGAAGACTGCAATGTTGAGATATGGAAAGGCTGGTTAGAGGGCGTTCATCTCCATCAAGGACGTTCTACTAGGAAAGAAGAGCAAGCCAACACGCAACTGTCTGCCACCGATGGCAAAGGTAAGAAAGATGTTGGGGATTTTGTTCCATGGTCACATCAGACAGCAACAGGAGTGAAGGATATCATCGTGAAATACGGGAAAAGCAAAACGCGATGTGCTGAACACGCAGCTCACATCCCTGCAACCGAAAGACTGCCGTCGTCATGCAGTGGCTACCGCGGGATCGTAAAAGGCAGCTCTCTGCAAGGAGATGCGACGATTTTGCCTCAGCTTAATAAGATTACTGTAGCAGAGGAAAACACAAACTACAAACTGGGACAGTTGTGATTAGCATAATTTATCTGACTGTTGAACATCGGTCAAATACGCATATCGAACAGATTTCTTAAACGTATCACAACAACGCAATGGCATTATGTCAAACTAACTGAAATACCATTTCGTTTGAATGCGATCTGTGGGCAAACAGAACAACGAGGATGATTGCACAGAATGCCAAGAATAACATCTTCCTAGCAAAAAAATTCATTCTGTCTTAAATTCTGACTGAAGCAAACGAAACCAAAACCAGCTAACTGTTTCCAAGCTAATCGAACACACGCCAACTGAATTGCATTGTTTTAATGTAGTTTAAAGTGGGGTTTAAACTGCCCTTGAAGGTGGCATAAATGATTTCGTTTAAAATTTACAGTTGAAGGTAGTGTCAGAAGGTAATCAACTTCATAAAAATGTTAAGTTCATGACATTAAAATCGAAACACCGGATTCAAACGGCAAAACAAACTCACCTAAACATTTCTTTCTCACCCTCAAGACCCTGAATGTAAATTCTTCTCGCGTTCGGT